GGGGGGGGGGTCCTCTCAATGCAAAAAGTTCATGTCTCTTAAATGTAACTGAACTGCACAACCTCGCGACGAAAATGTGCAGGCGCAGCGTCCATAACGTGTGGTCTGCAATAAGAACTCCACAGAAAGAACTCCACAGAAGGATTCAAACCTGGACCAAAGTGATTTACACTAACGAGAAGCCCTTTAATCCAAGCAGGACGACCCAACACACTCAGCGAACCATCACTTCAGAGGCAACCTGCTTTCCTTCACTCAAAAAGCGCTCCTGTCACCTCCTCTCACATTAAACAAAACATATTCACGCCTCAGAACCAGCAGGAGATAATCACTTGACTATCTCTCCGCACCGTTCAGCTAGCGTGTGAGCCGTTAAAGCGAAGCCCGTTCTTCCTCTCGATCCTGATTTTCCTCTTGGATCACACATCTGGGCCCGCGTGGCAGCGGCTTCAGCCGGGCCTCCGTCACGTTCGCCGTGCGTCGCACTTTGCTTCATGTTTGCCTTAATTAAAAGTTTTGCTTTCCTGGACGTTCCAACTTCTCTCCGTCTGCTCCTGAGTCATGGCCCCGCCAGCAGGCTCCGGGGGGATGATGGGTAATATTTCTTCCACTCCCTGCCTACTTTATCTGCAGCGTGGCCGATCGATGCCCCCGAAGCCGCTAAATCATTTGAAAGAGCGGAGCTGCATCGGAGCAGAGAGCATGCTGGAAGAGGAGGCAGACGCAGAGAGGCCGGTCGCACGAGCTGCACACAGGAAGAACGTTTGCCATGATACTCGGAGCTGACCTACTGCTGCTCACACGTCCACAACAAAAAATGTCAGATCTCACATAGAAGAGAGAAAACTCTAAAAACACAGATGACAAGTTTCGTTTAATAAAAGAAAGAAATGTGTAAATAAGTTACAGACGCCTGCAGCTCAGTTTGATCTGATGCAGTTTTAATGAAGCATTTTTAAGAATGTGAAGCAACAGCTGATAACACATTAACGCTCAAACCATCCGTGTTGTGTTGAAGAGATATTCTCAGGTCAAAATAGGACTGGGCTGTACTGCCATGTAATACCGCTACGTGCCACAAGGAGGTTCAGTGAGTCGGTGTAGCCTTTATTTAAGCGATTAATAAAACGATCGGGGAAAAAAGACTAAAAGTTTGAAGAGCAAAGCATTTTAGCACACCTGCTGGTTAAACACTGCCCCCTGTTGGTGAAGGTTTGAGTTCATATTTGCAGTGGGTAATTATTCATTCATTCATTCATTTATTTGTTTATTTTCAGGCACAACAAATACCTATATTGAACATAAAATGCACAAAACAAAAAACAAAAATTGCCTGAAAAAGGACGAAGAAAACTTATTAAATCCCACCCCTATACTCACTCATCAACAAAAAAAGACAATAACATTATAAAAGTACCTTTATTATTATTATTATTATTGTTGTTGTTGTTGTTGTTGTTGTTGTGAGATGTAAGACATTCCTGACTTCTTGAGACCTGAAAACTGGCAAAACCTCTGCTTTCACAGAGGCACTCACACTGCTGATGATCGGTTAAGCACATGACTGATGAGCAGCACCTGGCTGCTGCTGATCCCGCTGTTCCTGTGGAAGCAGTGAGGCTGGATGTTGTTTTTCAGAGCACTGCAGAGAATCCTGTGACATAAGAAAATGACCCGTTTCCTCTTTTTTAACCACCTTGCTGTAGTAGTTCCAAGAATTCCCACCTTCCAGCAGCTGCATGGATTGGGACTGAGCGGGACTCTATTAGGTACAGATGCCTTCAGCTGATGGCGGGATAATCGATGACTTTTTATGTAGTTGTACATTGTAATCATGTAAACATGTGGTTGTTGAAAACGCTCGGGGTGCACCATGTGAGATTCTGTCACGCACCGGGTATTTCTGCCGTTTTAACTTCAGGTTTAGCTATGAAACATTATTCAAAATGCTTTTTAAAGACTAAGTATGAAGAGGATTTATCCATTCATGCGTAGGTGGTCGCAGCTGCTTGGCTTATTTATGATATTTGACACGAGCTCCTCCTCAGACATTTCACTCTTCCATCCTTCCATCCGTCCGCTCACTCTGAACTTCAGCATAGGCTCCGAGTTCTTCCTGTGTCACTGAGCGTGTGCAGAAAGTGTGACTGAATCAGCTGCAGCAGCTGGAGTCTGCCAGTCAGTCTGCTGTGTGTGTGTGTGTGTGTGTGAGATACCAGGTGAAGGTTTTGTGATGTGGAGATCAATACAGGCATCCCCTCTATACACACACACACACACACACACACACACACACACACACACACAAACCACCAAAGTTGTGATTTGCAGATGACCTGCTGAGTCCACATTTTGGTGAATAGCCTTCACTGGTGCTCGTTTCTGTTCTTGGATGATCTGGGATTTTGTGTGGGACTTTCTGACGCTTCTGAAGAATTTATTCTGAAAGCGTCGCACTTCCTGATTGATGAATATTTTTTATTTTGAAAATGTATTTACAGCATTTATGAAGGATGAAACACATTCCATGATAACATTAAAGATAACTTTTTTCTTTTAAACTCCCAGCTATCAGTGAAGTAACCGCTGGATCAGAACAGACAACTGAGTGTGTGTGTGTGTGTGTGTGTGTGTGATTGTGTTATTAAGTTGGTGTTGCTCGGCTCGTCCTCATCTTTGTGTTTCTCTCCACAGAATCCGGCCAATCAGAAAGCCCGAATCAGGCCAGCGAATCAGACATCAAGGAGCAGCCGGAGAACGGTGAGACACACACACACACACACACACACACACACACACACACACACACTGAGGCTAACCTGTGTGTGACCCTGTGTGGTTAAACGAAATGAGGCTGTGGTCAGATATACACACACACACACACACACACACACACACACACACATTCCTGAGGAGAAGTTGTTTGTCTGGATCAGGGAAGTGCGTATGGAAGATTTTTAAGTGTGTGTTGATGGATGTAATAGCTGTGTGTGTGTGTTTGTGTGTGTGTGTGTGTGTGTGTGTGTGTGTGAGAGAGAGAAGGATATCCTCTCTACTTTGTGTGTGTGTGTGTGCTAGACCTTGACCCTGGTGTTCAGCTACGTGCGTGCAGACACACACAGCTGGTCCTGATTATTCCTGTTGGGAAACAGAAGCCTGTACTTCCTCACTCATACTGATCCTTCCCTGGTACTACTGGTACTAGTACTACCTGTAATCCTGCTGCAGGTGTAGATTTCGGGGGCTTGTCAGTGTTTGGCTGTGCCGATATGTGTTGGTGATACAGTAGTAATATAGTAATAACCCCCTCCCTCCCTCTGCTCACAGGTCACCTGGGCTTCCAGGATAGCTTCGTGACACCTGGAGTTTTCACGGTGGCCGAGCTCGTCCGAGTGTCTCAGAGTAAGTTCTGTCTCTCTCTCTCTCTCTCTCCTCCTGCAGTGAGGCTGAATGAGGCCAAGCACTGATTGGGTCGCAGATCTGTCATCGATAGTGCATCTAATGTAATTCCTCCAGACCAAACCACAGGCTGCCTATCTTAATGAACACACTGTGTGTGTGTGTGTGTGTTGTGTGTTGTGTGTTGTGTGTGTGTGTGTGGCTGCTGATGTGTGTTTGAGTGGTCTTCCTGCTGATGAACATAAGAACATGTTTAGGAGAGTGTGAATTGTGAGCTCAGCTTGCAGCACGAGGCTGAGCACCTGTGCATCAGAGAGCCAGGTGTTCACCATATTCTATAACAATAATAGTAATAACAATAGTAATAACTGTTACTTAGTAACACCTTATAAGTAACTGATTACCAAAATCACTGTATGTATAATAACATCATAGATTAAAATGTGAACAACACAGACTCAAACATTATGTGTTTTAAAGATGGTGAGAGTCGACGCTGCAGGAGAGTGCACGAGCGGCCAGTCAGCTCAAGGCTCTGAAGCACCATCGATTAATCGAATTCTCAGATAAGAACTACTTCTGTGATAAATATTCAGAAGAGAAAAACACAGGTCTTGCAAAATGACGCTTTACACACCATATTAAAATAGAAAACATTTTCTTAAATGCAAACATAAATAAACCTCAAGTCTCTTATCAAAGGTCAATATAATCTGTATGAAACTGAAACCTAAAACGTGTACCTTTACTCTGTGTTCTTGGAAGGTTTGTGACACTGTTTCATCTCCTTGATGAGCCAGATTACATTTGGTTTGTATGTATGTATTGTGTGCATATGTGTGCAGTGAATGACCGAGTTTGTGTCTGTAAGCCTTTAAAGGAGAATGCGGTGTCTGCGAGCATATTGGCATTGTGACGTTTGTCCTGTGCTTTGATGCAAAGTGCCTGTGCTGCTGAGAAGACATGCTTTGATGGTGCGTCGTTAATTAATATTAATAATAACAATTCATCTGCAGGTTTTTCTCTGTGTGGAACAAACAGTGTTGGGCAGAGCAGCTACAAACTTCCTTTTCTTCCTCTGGTAGTTTGTCGATCAGCTGCTTTGATGAAGGACTCCCGCTCGCTGTTTCCCAGTAAAGGTTTTAATGGTGATCACAGGAACATATACTGCTTTGGGCTATACAAACAAAGTTTTTTTACTGTATTGTTGTGGCTCCGCCTCTTGTGCAAACAGACTCCGCCTCCGTGTTAAACTGTCCCAGCATCATCAGGACTGCGTGGGCTGAATGTGGTCAGACTTTTTATCCACACGCTGCTCCTAAATGTGTTTCTACTGCAGGTCTGTGAGTGCTGCAGAGCTGTGCATTAAACGAGGATTTCATATAATCGAGTTATCCAAATTACTCGATGAATCGTTGCAGCCCCAGTTGATGTTAAAACTCTTCAGATCCAGGATCTGCTGCCAATCAGCAGCCGCTCCAACTCAACTCTAATTATAAGGAAATATGAGCGACAGGCGGGCGATCGAGAGACCGCAGGGTGGAGGAGAGAAAGGGGAGGGGTAAGATGGGTGTGCGATGGACAGAAAGGACAAGTGAGAGAGAGAGGCGGGGGGGACATGACCTTTAAAAAGTGCCGACATGCAGGAGAGAGAGAGAGAGAGAGAGAGAGTGACAGAGAGCGCAGTGGGATCTATATGAGTCTGTCGATCGCCCACCGCTAACAATAGGCGATGTAAAGTGCCTGTCAGCACACACACAGACCCCCGATCAAAGAGCCATCGATCACACACACACACAGTTATCCCTGCTTGATCAGATACTCACATGCAGCTGCTATCTCACACTCACTTAATGACACTGAAATATAAGGCATTCTTTCAAATTAAAAGCATCAGTGAAGTCTGTTAAACTTTTTGTTCTCCAAGGGTAGCTTTGCATGATTCAAAGTTCTGAATAAGTCTCCTCAGCTATGTCCAAATCCAACTGAAACCCATGTACTCTGATTGGCCAGTATCTGGAAGGTTATTGAGGGTACAGAGCGCATAAGCACATGTACGAGTACGTGTTGGAGCCTGAATGGAGCCTGAACATCCTACATACAGCAGGAACATCATGATGTTGGTAAATAGTTTGCTCAGCAGGAAAAAACGAGGTTGGACTTAGTCTTTCAAGTACACAAACACATGTTGCTGCGTGCAGCGTGTCCCTGAAATGAGCTGTAATGTCAGGTAATGATTAAAATGACTGCAGCCTGCACAGACTCCTGTTCACACACTGGACTTCATTAAAGTGCAAGGGCTGTGGTTGTGATGCTTCACGGAAATACAGTTGTAGAAGAGTAACATGTTCCTCCACACAGAAACACGCAATTTATAGAATGATGGTACCTAGAACAGTGGTTTTTGGTGTTGCATTGCTGCTGATGTATTTGGCTTACCGTGTCTTCTTCAGGGTCTGTGTTTCTGCCCTGAAAGTGCCAAGTGGTGTTTTTTTAAGTGCCATCCATTTTTTGATTTGATTGAGCAGCCATAGAACTATTTTGAGGTGATAGCGCCGTGAGTGCAGTGGTGTTCAGAAGATGTTTGCTCTGAGCACTTTGAGCTCAGGCTTATTGGAATTGTTCAGAAAATAGACGCTGAGAGCAAAAGTGAGGCAGCCTGTGGGCAGACCTTTGCAAATCATGCTGTAAACAACACCTCTATGCTGACAACACTGTCCTTTACTGTTTAGTGGTGCTGTACATTGTGGTCTTCAGTGTTGCTTTGGATGGCTGAGAAACTGAATTTTAAATTTCACGTGACACCTGTCAGCACATTCGGCAGGAGAACTAGCTCCTTCAGAACAGTAGATGATAGAAGAGAAGAGAAAAGGCCTTTACTGTCATTGTACATGTACAACGAAGTTGTGGGTGCTTCACACCGACTTTGCTGGAATAAAATATAAAGCGTATAAAAGAAATAAATAACAAAAATAAGAGAAAGGCACACAATAGAGGACAAAGTGCTCGGAAGCAGTGCAAAGAAAAAAAGGACTTCTTAGAGTCCATGTGTGAGTGTCCTGAGTGATGAGGGTTACTCAGCCTAGGACTGGGCGATATATCGAGTTTTTAAATATATCAATATATTTTTATACGAGATATGAGATGTGATAATATCGTTTATTTCGATATAGTCTATGTTACGTTATAATTATACTTGTGGAACCGCAAGTTTGCCTCTTTCATCCACTTTTGTCTCTACGCAACGTTACTCTGCCTCGCCTCTCTCCTTCACTGAACACAACTCCTCCCCCTCCATCACTTCACCTGCAGGAAACGAGAAGATGGACACGGCAGCTATCAAAGAGGAGCTGGTCGGTAAAAAGAAAACATTTGGAGATTACTATTTTAGTGCTGTCAGCGTTACTCTCGTTAAAATGTCCATAACGCTGTAACTGCATTAATGTGGCAAATTAACGAGTTACCGCGGATCGCCCCGTGTGTGGGGCTACACGGCGTAGTGTTTGTTAACAGTCTGAATGGCCCAGGGGAAGAAGCTGTTAGTGTGCGGAGGTGTGGGACCTGATCGACTAGTGGGTCAAGCAGGTGGTGGGCGGGGTGCGAGGGGTCACCTGTGATGGCCCTGGTTTACCTGAGATGATTTTTTTCTCTGGGCAGATGGAAGCAGCGTCCTATCAGTGTTGAGATCATTATAATGCTCCTCAATATAAGCTGAGGTTAGACCATCAGCCCTGGCTACTATTTCGCTCCAGTTACTTTTACCATCGCCCTAAGGAAAGCGTTGCAATTTTACTCAATGTGAAGCTGAAACAAAAAATATGAAGGACAATGAGATTTCTCATTTTCATCCTTTAATTTTGAATTCTACCTCCAGATGTTCTTGTTTCACTCCATTATTTGCTTTTCATAGAAATAACTTTATTACTTTTACTTTTTTTTTTCCCTACTGACAAAGTTTTTCTGTTCGGCTGTATTATAAATGAAGTCTCTCTCAGGCTGAATGAACATGTATTCACACACACACACACACACAGGCGCACACACACACACACACACTATTCAAGTACATTAGCTTTTAACTGATAACCTGAAATGCCTATTGTGCACACACACACACACACACACACACACACACACACTGTGGACTCTCCTGCACTCTAATCCATAAGTGATTCTTCCAGAGCCGCATCGCTGCAAATCTGCTGACCAACACAAAGCGCGCGCCTGCACACACACACACACACACACACAGAGCGAAAGGGTGTGTGTGTGTTTGTGAATACATTTGTGTCTGTCTGAATGTGTCTGTGTGTGTAAGTATATGAATATATACTGTACTTATAGTGTGTGTGTGTGTGTGTGTGTGTGTGTGTGTGTGTGTGTGTGTGTGTGTGTGTGTTGCAGCAGCATTAAAGCAGCTCTGCTTTGCTGCCACAGACACTTTTCTTACTCCTCACTTTGCTCGCATTAGAAATATTAAATGTAGACAAAGCTGAAAAATGTTTTTCATCTCATCTCCTTTTATATTAATACAATACACACGTTATTCTCAGTACATCTCAGTACATTTTATTCATACAGCCAAAAGTTACACATTTGTGTGAGTGATTTCTGTAGAAAAATTTATCCAGCCTGATGAAACCTGTAAATGTCTCAGATTACAGTGGAACCTGAAGGGAGCGCTCCATCCTCAGGTTCCTCCGCAGTCGAAGCGAATTCGTGTAGAAGTTTCTGCTGATTTATGTTAACGTTCACCTCATGAGTCCGAACTCTAAGGCTTTTTATGTTCTTCTTGATGAAGCTGTTGTCATAATTTCCTGTAGTTATATATTTGTGATGTTTTGAGCTCTCGGGGCCACCGTATGGTGGCCAAAGAATATATGTATGATGCTGAAGCAAACCTGGAAGGACACCTTTACTTCAGTGTAAAACTCAGCTGACGTCGGCAGATTCTTGCTGCGGCCCTCGTTCTCCTAAGCGTTCCCCTTTAAGAGCATAAAAAG